GTGTCGTAATGAATAAGCAGGAAACGACAGAATGATAAAACCCGACTACGCTTTTGAACTCTCTTAAGACCTAAACATGTAATAAATCAGGAAACAGCAAAAGCAAACAAGGACTAAGACTCATTTGTAGTATACTGAGTTATGAACTTCGGGTTGATGTGTAATGAAGTGAAAACCTGCTTAGAAGTAGTGAGCAAATTATACCAGTACCGAAGTTTCAGTGCTAAAACGAAGAGTTCGGGATATAGTGCTAGAATGTAGCTTTTGGAGATATGATGTCCTAGAATTCATTTCTTAGTTCAAGACGTGAGGTTCGGGTTGGTTTTGTCTTTGCGGTCAGTCTATGTGTAATGTCGCGCATAGTCCTATTCTAACCTCAAGCTTTAGGTTGTCGCACAAGTCATCTGTTTCATGTTTTACTCCCCAGGGTCGTCTCATTTCCACTTTTTTATTATCGTCTCTGGTGACGTAATTATATTTGACTTTAGATTCTGCCAGGGTTTATTTACTATGACATCCTAGGTTACTGTTCGAGAATATCCAAACTTCACAATGTTGTTTGGGGGCTGATATTGTGCATGATGTAGGTCGTAAGTGCTTGATTATTGGCTTGGCCTTTAAAAAACTAGTTTGCTATGTCTATTTAGTTCCCATAAAAACATGGTATGACTGGCCACCATAGATTCAGTGTGACACAGTAAATAGAGTTTGCGGTTGAAAACTAGTTAGTGTGGCTGAAAATCAATCGTAGTAGTACATATGTGCTCACCATCTATTTTCATCTCAATCCCAATCATGACATTACACATTTTTCACTTCTTGTTTTTCATACGCTAAGGTACCGACTGACAGTAAGTTGCAAAACATTTGAAGTTAAGTTTTCGACGTCAGTACATTATATGTATATTGTCTTAATCTCTATTCCTTCACTTGGTGTTATTAACTTTACTCCTTTGTTTTTTTTTCTGATTCATTTCCTCTGTTAACTTATGGTGACTCACGGTCATCTGTTCCGGGTCCATTGCAATTTATGTTTCTGTTTGTCGAATTAAAGATTCCTCCCCGTACACGACATTTGTAATGGCTGCGAAAAATGGACATGCATATGCTGTAGGTATTTGATAATAGGTGTCTCGTAAAACACTTGAGTGAGCAGTGTTGAGGTTTAGCATCGGTTACTAGACAGAGATGGCAGATCTATCGATGGAGTTGCAAATCCTTATCAATTGAGGTGTTTAGGATGTATGTTAGGTATGTCTAATTACTGTCCATCTCGATGGTTAATGTTTACTAGTGTGGGATTATATCGAGAGAAAGTTTGGTGCGGCAAAACTAAAGTGTGGCGTCAGTTCGTGAAGTAATTAGGCTTATTGTTAGCTGTCGTCTAGTCATTGTGTTGATTTATATTTACGGGCAGTATCCACTTTTTCTCTTTAGCTAGCCATGTTGCATATTTGGAAAATAATTTTTTTTGTCTACCTTGACGCTAAATTCTCAAATAAAAATCAAGACATCAACTTCTAAGATTCAGTGGGTAGTATTTTAAATATTAGCTGTATTTAAGAAACCTCAGTGAAACGAAATGGGTTTTATGATTAACCTCTTCAGATCAATCCAAGTTTAAATGGTAAATGAATCACATCAAATGATCTGAATTAATACTTGTTACGATTTTTAACCAAATAATGATAAAGCATTATAATTCCACGTTTCATCAAGTCTCTTTCTCTTTGATGGTGTCATACTTTACTTATCGTTAATTAGGCGTTCACATTGCATTAGCGCCTGGTTAGTATTATGAAGAAAAGACCGAAGCTTAGTCTTATTTTTGATGAGGAGAAGAGAAAGTACGGTCTTTATTTTCCCACTTTCGAGTTATTAGAGAATATCTTACTGGATTTCGAAAAAGAAAGCTTGAGCGTAAAGAAAAGGGACGTAAAGCAGCAGAAAAACAATTGAAAAATGAGATTAAGGCTGTTAAGGACAAAGTTTGTCGTGATTCATGTGTTGTTACTTTATTAGTATAGAGAGGCTGCTCGTCAAAAGCTTGAAAATATTCGGTTGCCTGGGCCGCTAGATTGTGTTGAAAACATCCTTTCCAATGACAAACAGGTTATCGGAGACCAAAGTGTTGTTATTCAAGAATTAGATTTGTGTAACTCCCATTATTTCATGGGTGCTTGCAAGGTACATTGAGATAAAGCAGTTTCACTCCTAACTTATTCAGGAACGAAATTCTGATCCAATCATTTCTAGTGAAGAGTATGTTGTTATTTTTAATGACTATTTTTATTTAGGCCACATATGTCGCTTAAAAAAGCACTCAAAATGAATCCCATGAGGAGTAAAAAGCGTTTCCGCCGTTCAAAGAAACAAACCTCCAAACATAAACGTCGTAAATAGTGACTCCGTCTTGTACATTTTCGTATACAAAATAATCCGATATTTGCTCTGATACAATTGAGTTTTTTAATTTTGCGCTTTCGACGAAGTGTGTTTGTTAGCAAAATAACCTATTTAAGAGATGATTTTTACTGTAAACTCCATTCGGTGCAGTATTATAAGCGAAAATGAGCTTTATTTGTATGCAGTTATACGAATAGTTGGTTTCTAAATCTCCAAAGTGTGTGAAATTCTGGGGCGTGAGGTTTTTTTTTATAAAGTCAGTGTAAGGAAATTGTTGCTAAACAAAATACTTTGATTGGTAACTAATTTGTAGACTTCATCCAATACAGGATAATTGACACACTGTATATAATATAACTCTCTGAACATAAAGGTAGCTAATAAAATTGAAATCTAAAGTTCAAATAAATTAGCCACTCATACATTTAATGCTTATTTTTTTAGATACCTCACAATAATTATTTCAGCTCCAAACATACCCTATCCACTTTGAATTCGCCCAGTATTGTTAACTATTGTATAAATAGGAAGGAAAGTGATAGCGCAATGGTCAAAATACTCCTTTTAACCGTTATGTTTTAGGTTCGTATCCCGCCCCACCTACTTCTGTCTGAATAACCTTTTAGTATCGGTAGACATCATCTTGGCGTTTTGACTCTAGGTAAAGTGCATTAACCCGCAAATCACATGTGAGTTAAGTTAGATTAAACGAAAGGAGTATATTGATAAAATAATTCTTAAAACAAACCAATAAGTGTAGGATTCCAACTCCACTATATCTACTTCAGTTTAAAAACCGAATTATCACCGTCCCTCAAAACCGATAACGAAATTTTATGTGGTTGCTGATCTGGATTAACTATATATTTATATGAGAACGAATAAAAGTTCATTTATATTTACTCTTGCATACCTGACTTCACTAAGAAAATATTTCGCACTGTCCTGCCTTTATTGCATATATGAAAGGTGCTATATAAAATTGATTGAAAAGAACAGTTGTCTACTACTCAGATTGGGCTTTATAGTAATCGTAATTAAATACACATGCTACATTTGATGTTTTCGTAGCGGCTTCACAGTTTCAGGATGCACTTAGATGGTTTTCATTCAAGTTATCAGGCGTTCATACTTTTAGTTCAAGAACTGGATCTTTGAATAAACTATCAGCGACACTAGCTACGTAAACGTCTTTTTAGCGTTTAATACTGGCCATTTTATTTCCAGTCCGATTAAGTATTTATAGATTAACCGTAACTCGTAACCTTTAGCACTTCCCCACACATCAGTGTTTTTGTAGGTTCATATTCCTTCGAACTGAATTTTCCATAGTGATATGAATGAAATAAAGAAGTAATGAATAAACGAAGTAGATGAGCCCTGTTATATATTCTACTGTTTCTAATACAAACGAATCGCATGATTTAATAAAGAAAGTATCTCATGTTCATTAAATATCTATTTGAACTCATTTCTGTACTCAGAATATAGGGGTATCAAATCACAAAATATGTAATTGGAATGGTGGTGATTTTCATATTACATTTCATCACCTTTGTGAAATATCTTACGACTAAATTTGGAATACGGTCAACAGGATGAGGCGAATCTAATAGTCTTCAAGCCACTAGTTGCAAACTACATTAGTGACTTGGGCCACGTGTTACATAAACTTGAACACAGATTACCACGACGCGCAATGCTGACTAGCGTTGGAGACGGTTGGAAGAAAGTTAGGGGCCGCCAAACCAAAACATGGGATCAGTCTTTGAATTCGCTAACTTCTAGTCTGAGCCATATTGGTAGATGTAGACTACTCGGTTGGGGTCCGCGTAAATATTGTAACCAATGGTTGGAGACTGGGTGACATGGATCATAATCGGTCACAATGGCGTAGGTGTATACACTGTTTGTCTACCCTTAAACCTTAGATTAAAATTACTTTATACCTTTCTTTTCTCTACGAACTAATTCTTTCTTCCTGTGTTATATCTTTATATGCACCCTTTTTTTACATATTACTATCATTGAAATAACTACTATGAATTTGGTGTTCATCTTGTTGTGCTAATGAGGTGTAACAACCTGGACCGATGCATATATGTACCTGGTCCCACGTTTTAGCTGACTGAGTAACTAACTAGTTTCAAGTCAAACATAGGAATGGTCACCTCACTATCAACACACTGTCAAATGTTTAGACATGATCTCATAATTAGCGCAAATAAAACAATTTGGTTGCTGACTAAAAATGACTAGAAACTACTCATTTAAGTTAGCTACTTAAATGAGTTGGTTATATTTATGCCTAAAGTAAATATAGGGTTTAGTGACTAGAAAAAAATGATAGTTATCCTTTGTGATGGTGTCAAGCTTATTACAATATTGGGTTGAATGTTTTGATTTCACAAACAAACCTCGGAATTTTTCAGTCTGAACTGTATGGTCTTCATTCTGCCCTAAAATATTTAGTAAGTTTTATATGAGTGGACATCGGAATACATTTCTACTCATACTTGGTCCTCCCCTCCTAAAATCTTCCCTTATCCATTTTTAACAGCTATCACTATTTATATGATTGGGCTTAATGAATTATGAGTAAGGGATTGGCCCCAAGTAAAAGTACTGTGTACATAAGTAATCTGCCATTCAGCCTAACCAACAATGATATTCATCAAATATTACAGCCATATGGTAAAGTGGTCAGGTGAGTTTTGATTTACTGTTTATTAAAGTACTAAACTGGTAGTTATTGTTACTTACTCAAGCAATAAATTTAGAGTTATGCATTTCTGCAATTTAGGCACTTTGTTCTCAATCACGAAGATGAGATTTCAGCGTAATAAATCATGACACTAAGTATTAAATTCTTCAACAGTTAGTGTGTTAACGGAAGTCCTGGAGGAAGCTTTAATCGATGTTCGTGGTAATAAACAAAATACTTAAGGGTCGAGACCACCTGCCTAATAAACCTATTTTCTAACCTGCTTTTAATTATGGCTGCTGTTTTTGTGTGTCTTTCTGATCGTAAAATTCAATCATAGCCGTTCCTCGTTAAAGTATAACAATCCGAACTAAGTCGCAAAACTATCACGTTTCAAGATTGTCTATCATCCACTACTACACTATTATCTCTCGATAATGCAATCAAAATACGAATGCTATCAGAATTATGTGATATGTTTGCGCAATACATTTCGAACAATTTGGCCACACATAACTCCGTCTGGAGTAAGTAAGTAAGTAAGTAAGTAAGTAAGTAAGTGGTCATACATATGCTCGTTAAGACATTATTATATGAAAAATAAAAGGTCGACTATACAAATTAAAAGGTAAGCGGAAACAAAGAATAATAAAGTACACAAAAGCAATATGAAAACCACACTGGATAATAAGTCAGTATTACCAGGGTAGGTTAAGGGTAAGAACAAATTGTTTTTAATACACAAAGGGGTTTCAGTTTCTGTATAGCCGATGCTTCAATGAACTTTAGTATGCAATACTACAAAGGTTGACTTGATATCAACTTTATAACCGGTCTCACCCAAATGTTTCGCAATGAAGGTGGATGCTTGTCTATCATGCAGTCTTATTTAATAATCGGAATTCATTTATTTTTGCAGCCATTTAGGTATGTGTCCAGCTACCCTTACTTGCAGCTCACAATTGCTTCTCCCCATGTACGTGTTTACGCACATACATGTGACACAATCGTTTACGTGCTGTTTAGGTTTTTGGTGAAACATAGATCTTGCCTTTTAAATAATGAATAGTTGGGCTGCATGAAGTGTCCTGTTGATAGTTGATTTAAGTCTCCGTCTCAACATATGACTATTTGAGTCACCTCTAAATAGTAACGTAATGTAGACTCGATTTTGGGTGCCAGAAGCATCATAGGCCTCACCTGAATTAGGCATTGAAGGCCTCTATGATCAATCAAGTACCTCATTCCCTTCATCCTTAGAGAATCAAAGTTGGTTTAAAGCTAAACTAGTGGATATAGCGCACCAGTTTCATTATCCTGAACCAAAGGAGAGAAGCATATTGACTTCTCAGCACTTCAAGTCATTAAAAGAATCGCGAAATAATGCTGATATTATTATAATTAAACCTGATAGAGGATCAGGTGTTGTTATTATGAATAAGTACGATTCCAAAAATAAAATGTCATCTATCCTCAATGATTAAAGCAAATTTATGGCTGATGTTGACTTTGATGGATTACGTAAATTAGAAGGGAAAGTTAGCTCAAATCTAATGAAATTGTTAAACATGAATGCTATTAACGAAGAGGAGTTTAATTTACTCAAACCTATGGGTTCAGCGTATCCTTATTTATATGAATTGCCAAAAATTCGTAAGACCAATAATCCCTTACGTTCAATCTTATCAGTGTGTCGATCATCTACACACAATTTTGCAAAATGGCAAAAGTGCTAAACGCTACCCGAAACCAATTTTGTAAATATTCTTTGAATGACTCATTTGGATCAAGTACTTAATGGATATTAATATAAAAAATAAGACAATGTGCTCCTTTGATGTAAACACTTTATTTGCAAAGGTGACTATATCATTAAATAACCTTCCGTTGTCATTTTCTGTTAAAAATCTTAAAGATTTATTACTATTATGTACTGACAATATGAAATTCACTTTTGAGGGTGAGTACTTTCGATAGATTGATGGCGTAGCTATGGATAGCCTTGAGAACCGTTGATTGAAACCGGTTATAATGTTGTGATATCAAGTCAACCTTTGTAGTATTGCATACTAAAGTTCATTGAAGCATCGGCTATACAGAAACTGAAACCCCTTTGTGTATTAAAAACAATTTGTTCTTACCCTTAACCTACCCTGGTAATACTGACTTATTATCCAGTGTGGTTTTCATATTGCTTTTGTGTACTTTATTATTCTTTGTTTCCGCTTACCTTTTAATTTGTATAGTCGACCTTTTATTTTTCATATAAAAATATCTTAACGAGCATATATGTGACCGAATTGTTCGAAATGTATTGCGCAAATATATCACATAATTCTGATAGCATTCGTCTTTTCATCGAATTATCGAAATTTATCAAAGTGACCATTTGTTTTAAATTATACTATTAACTTGACTGAAAGCTTAATATTCAATTTCATGCATTAAAATTATTTATGTAAGTGAAGAAAAGTGAAATATTAACAGCATGTTACACATTCTAATTTATACTATGCTATAAGACATGAACTCATTTTCTTAACACGTTGGAACTTTAACCGTTCATGGTTATTCTTTTGTCTTGTGTGTTGATTATTGATTGATATGTATATGAACCTTCTTTTGCTTACTTTCTGCCCCTTTTTTGGTTTAATCTAGAGTAACTGTGGTAAAAGATAAAGAAAGTCGGAAAAGCAAAGGTGTTGCATTCGTCTTATTCTTAGATAAAAGTGATGCTTTTAATTGTGCAAATAAATTGAATAATATGCAGGTAAATATATTCATGCAAATTTACTCACTTATATTGTTCAATATGAAGGTGAAGTAGTTTTTCGTATTTCATTTCATTCTTTCTCTTTGTTGTTTAAGTAACGGTAACTATTAGTTTGACTATCTAGAGAAATAATCTTGGTTAGCAAATTTCATTAAATCATTATATATGACTTTATCAAGTACAATTTGATGTATTTGTGTTTACGTGAGTTTCAGTGATGCTGTAAGTGATGAGGAACAGGTGATTTAATTAAGCCAACGCTTTCATAAAGATTGTTTAATTAAATTTAAAAGAAAACATCAAAACTTAATCACTTCTACACTACTAAGATAATTTCTATACTCAATCTTGAGGTCTGTCCTGTTTATTATCACTTTTCTTAATGAACAACAAATAACCACTAATATATTTTAATTTCAATCGAAAAATAAAGCGAAAGCAATCGAAATTCTACCGAAAGTAACTTACAGTTGTCGAATTTTATTCAAAGTTAACAAAAGTTAATGTTTTACAGTTATACTCTGATTATGGCAGTGATAATTATTGAGCACATTTGTGGATTTATATTCACTGTCGTCTGTTATATAATATTTAAAGCTTTATAGCATCAGTCCACCTTGACTTTATTATTAATGTTTCTCTTCAATTAGATGTTTGGTCGTACACTGAAAGCATCAATCGCCCGAGATAATGGTCGAGCTGCTGAATTTATTCGTAGACGAGAATATCCTAATAAATCTCGATGCTATGAATGCGGCGTAAGTTTGTTGAATCTGACTACTTAATGCGAAATCATATATATATATATATATATCCCTTAGGAAACTAAGCCACTGATAGTGTTTGTCTCATTCCCTAGAAATCCAAGCTATGTCTTGGCTAATCACGTGCACTTATCCGGTAACGGTTTCCTAATTCCCCTCGGTATATCAGCTGTCCATCCTTAAAGTAAATCTGGCCTCTCAGACTCAGCCGATGGCGTTGGAGTGAGGGTTCATCACTTGAAAAATATGCCATTCTCGATTAGTGTGGTGAATCAAGTGACAGGCATTATTTTGTAGTTCACTAATTCTTCCGAATTCCATGTCTGAGGTATGATGAATGTTGATGAACACTAGTTTTGGGTGTTTTTTGCTACCATATAGTTGTCATCAACTGAGAGAGAAAGGTGGTCACCAATAAAATTAAATAATTGATCAAACATTTTCAAATCTGCGAACTAATTAAGATCTAACAAATTGAAAAATTATTTAGTGACATAGCGTCTGAATTTGATCATTAGATCATTAAATTTGATATACTATATAATCCCGACAACTTGGATTAGGATACTCGATGCATTCTTTACACAGTTTATTCCAGTTACTTGGCCGAACGAGAAACTAACGTAATATTAAATGTAGTTTCCAACCGCAGTGTGATATTTTGTTCGTTAACATTAATAGATACATATTTGCATAAGGATTTGAAATTAGATTTTGATCGACCCTTAAAACTACTCATTCTCAGTAAAAATTGATAATTAAAATATGATGAAGGTTTGTTGTCACAATTGACTGATCACTGGGTGGTGATCAATGTCATGCGTGTCTAGTCCTTATTAGTGCAGATCGAATGCTATCGATCAGGTTGCAATGTGGCCACCAGTCTAGGTGACTCGACACTGCGGGCACTATATATTGAGATTTAGACGGTGGTTGGAGGTAGTCAACAGTCCTACAGGAGGTTAGTCGCGGCCCGGATAGCTCAGTGGTAACGTCTCTGACTGTGAAGCTGGGTGGCACGAGATCGAATCCGCCAGGGGGCACCAGTTCCCTCAAGATTACAGGTGCACCCTGCTGACGAGTGCCAAGTAGCACGAAGTCCGGGTCCAGGGTTTCCTGTTGACTACCTCCAACCACCATCTAGAAGGTTTGTTGTGTTTGCAAAGTTCTTCCGTGTGGTTACCTGTTGCACATTTTTCTCATTTGCGATCAATAAATGGCCAGAAACGAGAGAAATATTACCTTTCGCAGTTCCGCTAACCAGAGGGGAATGCCTTGAAGATAGATATGGATTAATATTGTAGACATTAGACAAATAACCTGAACGGGGAAATTTTTGAAAAGTTTGATTTAAGACATTAATACTAATAGTACGATTTAAATGCGACATTTTTTGCAAATCAAATGAAGCTTCATTTAATGCGTACTGGGAGTGTCAGTATTAAATCGTGACTTGTGAATTTATACCATTTCAGCAATCCGACAGTTGTTAGCAATGCCTTTGGGTGATCGTTGCTCTATACTACGAATCGGCTGGTGCTGAAAATATAGACCATTAGATTCGAACCCAGTGATCTAAAGATCCATAGTTCCTGAGTTCTGTTTTTGATATGATCGTTGGTACGCACTGTTAAGTAGTTCCATACTTGGCCGAAACAACTGTCTTATGCTCCCTGGCTTTTAATGATACCACAACTTATGCTAACCTGTGACAAATACTACCTATAAAAATGAAACTCATCAATGGGACTATGCTCTAATGGTTATCCTCACCTTTTATTCTCCAGGTGTAATTGCCAATGCTTCATTTAATATGAAGCCAATTGGTATCTTGTGTCACTTTTAGGATTTATGACTAATTTTGAATTACATGAATTAGCACTATAATGCATAAACAGTTTAATCCCTGTCTAATTTGTAGTCTTTCGGACATCTTAGTTATAAATGTGAAAAAAACTCATTGGGTGAACGTGAACAACCAGTAAAGAAACGTAAAGTTCGAAAGAAACTCAAGTAAGTTCCCTATAAAGACAGATTGTTGATAATTTGTAAGTATAAATATTGCGATTTTTTGTTCCATGTTAAGTGAATATATTCAATGTTTATTTGAAAATTATTCATGTAAGCTCTGTATCTTAAGTAGAATATCATTAATCATTTAGGTGTGATCAAATTCTATCTAATTACAAGTTTTTAGTCAGTCATAAACAACCTGGATCCTGCGATAGATGCTTACAATACAACGTGAAAGAATTAATAAGATGAACATCAAAGTAAGTAGTAGCACTATTAGTGTTGTCTGAAAAAATTTAGGCACATAGATTATGATTTGTGAAGAAAGAAATTATTTGTTGGAGTAAGAAGTACAAAATAATTTTAGAACTCAAGATGTAAGTGAAAACAAGAAGTGAATACATCTACATCATTGTTACTGATTCACTAATCACTGACCGCAGTTATTGCGAGGACCCCAAACAGGTGGTCCCCATTTATTAATAATTTCATAAACTGACGTCATGTTTCTGTTCCTTCCAGTTTACTCCTAATTCAGCTAACATCGCACGTCGAGGTATGCGGCGGTTGGTCATGCGTAGTAATCTTTAATAGCTTCTCTATGAGGTAGTCCCAACATTGACTTTTTATTTATCAATAATCAGTTAGAACTTTTCGGAACATGTCTATATTAATTTGGATCGTTTCTATTATGTCAGTCAGTCAGTCGGTAACAACGTAGAACTTCGTACGTACGTACATCAGTTCGAGTTGCCACACCACCTTAGCACAGAGATGCAGTTGTCGATTCAAATCCCGTAGTGGTAGAGGTAGCAAGATTATAAGCAGTAATCGGGAAGATTAGGGTTTGGAGATGTTATTTAAAGAGTATGTAATCCGGGTGATCCCGACGGTAGCTGCTACCTTGACATGGTGGTCGGGCTTGTCTATCGTGATGACGCAACCGAGCTATATTGGCTGGAACACATGTTCCTGTAGGTTCTACTATGCCAGGTAGGTCGATTGGAGAACGGGAAGACTAAAAGCAGCAACTAAAGGTCTGAGGGCGAAGTCGTACTGCTGACTGTAGGTGAGTGATAGCAGTAAGTCGTTCCCCTCGGACAACCAGCATCTGCAGCTATGCTGCCTTCTCACAAGGAAGGAAGGGGTTAGGAAAGGTCGACCCTAAATGAGCTTCCTGACCTCCTCAAAAAAGTTAGGCGCTCTGATGTAGTAATAGTGGCTGGTGACTTTAATACTCAAGTAGGTAAACTAAACGGAAGGGAAAGACATCTGGGTGGATCTTATAGCGTCGTGTCTCAAAGAACAGATAATGGCGATCGTCTGTTGCAGCTATGCTAAGATAACTGCCTGTTTCTAGCAAGTACTAACTTTAAGCACAAGGAAAAACATCCTTTGATATGGCGACCTCCGAATTCATCCCAACGTTGGACCTAAGTAGGTCACGTCGCTACCATCCACCGATGGAGGGGCTCTGAACATGACGAAGAGCGTAGTCAGCTTAAGCGCAGGCTTATACGAAGCCTACGCAATGATCGTAAACAGTAGTGGGTAGCGAAAGCAAGAGAGATGAAAAACGCAGCGGCAATAGTTAACAGCAGATAACTGTTCAGACTTGCCAAGGAAACTGCTAGTAAGAATCCAACTTTTATCGAAACTATCTCGGAAAAAGATGGCCATATTATTCCCTCTCAATTCAGGAGATTGGGTCGATGGGTAGAACACTATAGGGATCAGTTCAACTGGCCTTCAGCCACAATCCGATTTTCCACGATCTCCAGTCAACCTGAATAACAAGTCAATGCAACTCCTCCAACTCTTTACGAAGCTGAAAAAGCTATAGGAAATCTGAAGCGTGCGAGAGCACCAGGTCCTGATAGGTTTACCCCTTAGAATTTTAAAAATGGTAGTTCAGTATTAGCAGCGCGATTGACTGAGGTTTTAGGTAGGATCTGGGAACTGGATGTAATTCCATATGACTGGTCTCAATTACTGATTGTGTCAGTCTATAAGAAAGGACAAAAGTCTTCTTGTCATAATCACAGAGGAATCAGTTTGACTAATATAGTGTCTAAAATATTAGCCACAATAATACTTCGACGCCTAACCAAAGCTCGTGAAGAGCAGACTAGAGAAAACCAGGCTGGTTTTCGACCTGAGCATGGCTGTATAGACCAGATATTCACACTACGTTAGGTCCTAGAACATAGACACACATTGAGACGCCCCACAATCGTAGTATTTCTCGACCTTAAGGTGTGGCATTCGACTCTGTTGATCGTGAGGTTCTATGACAGTGTTTGTCACTGAAAGGAGTACCAAAGAAGTACATTAACCTTTTAAAGGATCTCTACTCGAACACAACTGGTCGAGTGAGAGCTTGTGGCGAACTGTCCTCAGAATCGATTACCTCAAATAGTGTTTCTCAAGGCCGTCCACTCTCTTCATTCTTATTTAACTTTGTCATTGACGTACTTATAGAGATAACACTTTCCTCATCTACATTGCCAGGGGTTGAACTTCTACCAGGAGATTCACTTGTTGACTTAGAATATGCTGATGACATAGTTTTATTTGGTGAAGATGCTGACAAAATGCAGAGTCTTCTTACCACCGTAAACAACAATGCAAGCATGTTCGGGATGCGATTCTCCCCCTCGAAATGCAAAATATTGCTTCAGGATTGGGTTGCATCGACACCCGAACTAGTGATAGTGAGTGAAGTAGTTGATCGTGTCGACCGCTTCACTTATCTTGGGAGTCTCATCAGCCTTTGTGGTCTGGTGTATGACGAAATCTCAGCACGGATACAGAAGGCTCGACTAGCTTTTGCCAACTTGCGTCATTTATGGAGTAGGGGAGATATCCGTCTATCAACCAAAGGAGGACGTGTTTACTGCGCAGCAGTTCGTTCCGTTCTACTTTATGGCAGTGAAACATGGCCGGTAGGAGTAGAGGATATTCGTAGGTTACTAGTATTTGATCATAGGTGTCTCCGATGCATTGCTCGTATATCCTGGGACCATCGAGTAAGTAACGCAGTTGTTAGGATACGGGTACTAGGTAAGGATGGCAAATCAATTGATGAAGTAGTGAAACTTCATCAGTTGAGATGTCTGGGACACGTGTTACGTGTACCCAAACACTGGCTTCTCCGACGAGCGATGTTTTATAGTATAAGAGTAGGTTGGAATAAAGCAGACGTTTAGGCCAAGACATGGCACAAGTCCATGAAGTCACTGACAAGTGAACTGAGCCATGTCGGTAGGTGTAGACTACCTGGTTGGGATCCGCGAGATGATAGCAACCGATGGTTAGAGACCCTGAATGATGTGGCTCAAAATCGTTTGCAATGTCGCAGGTGCACCCACTCTTTGTGTTCTCCCAAATTCTAATCTTCTGAATTCTTCATGTCCCTTTTTTTCTCTTCCCAAATTTATTTCACTGTATTATACTCCTTGAATAACATCTTGATGCTTAGAAGTAAGATATATCAATCACTGACCCATTTCTTTTTCACTAAATGATTGTGTAAATAAACCATCTATATTTAACGGCATGCTTAACAAAGTATGGAATTTTCTGTTGTAACCATACAAATATTCCAATCATTTTTTTTTGCTTCGAATTTTTCGTCAATGTAGTCGGAAGTATAAAGTGTAGTCTCTGAGTGGATTGATCCAATTCATCAACCAATCGAGAAAATTATACACAGTTATAGGGACAAAAATCTAACCCATGAAGTAAACAATGACAAATTTAATTTCTATAAGAACCAATCAACGTCGATGTGTACAGAACAAGCTGTGAAACGGATATGGAGAAATCCGAACTCTTCACTTCTATCTGAATTTTGTGCTGATGATGTCATTCAGAAGAACGATGAAAGCTCCACGAGCAAACCATCCTGCTCAGAGAACAAAACTCCATTAATATAATGAAATCGTACCCTTAATTTAAGCCGCTACTACATGTTAGGTGCTTTTTGAATACGATATATTCACTACTTACGTTTTGTTTCAATAGTATAGTGTGAAATAAGAAAACTTCTGGGAGACATTTTACGTTCAATGGTATCGAACATTATGTTCAGTTTGATTTGGTTTCCCTACTCACAACTTATGTGAACCTTTTATAGTAAACTCTTATCAGAACAGAGATAAAATCAATAATTAACATTAAATGCTACTCATCCAGAAAATGTTTAAACTTGATGGAATCATTAGTAAATGGCATGAAACTGTATGTATAAAGTTGTCTTTATTAGATTGGCATTCAGTTTATGTGAAAAACCAGACTTAACAAGAGGTTAAAATCTGATTTGTGCTATATTCTGTTAGTTTGTTGATATTTAACAAATATATCGGTATAATAAGCATTTATAACTAAATAACTTGGATTCTCTCATAGAGATTATTCTGTTAGGTTTTCATAATAATAATAATAATACCTTCCAATAATATTACTAATCCTTCTTTGGAACACAATAAATCTAGTCTTCTGTTTACTGTCAATGATATATCTGAATAGTATGTGTCATTTTTGTTATGAATGACACATTGTTCTATGACTTGAGAAGCGACTCTCTAATAAGCATCCTGGTTATATTTTTTCTACTTTGTGTATACTATTTTGGCTATCACATGGCGTCTTCAGCTTTGATCAGCTATACGTCTCGACTTATAAAGTTAACTCTGAGTTGAACCGAGAATAATCCTAAATCCTGTTGGTTTGCGACGTAACCCCTTCTATCCTCAGCCTTGAGTTTGAATAAGAGAAGATAACAGTCAAGCTACCCAGTATATCTCCCTATAACACTCATTAGTTTATATATGTAAATTGTCAGACCACAATGCACCCCAAATATGAAATCATGCTATAAGTGGCAGAAGATGGAGCAAACAGTACATAATTAAGTAATAATAAATCTTATAACAATAGTTAATAAGTCCAACCGAAGCTTATAATGTAGTTAATACTGAGAAACAATAGTTCAGCTATCTAATAATTATGTAATAATAATAATTTATGAAATAGTCCCAAAAGTTCCAACATCCTCACTACTCATCTTGTGCCCCCAAACACCCTGGTACGACTGAGGATGAGGAGGGCCCTCTCTCCCTCCTGAAATACTCTCACATGGCCACGCGTATACAGGAAAGTCCTACTCACTGACTTCTTGCGGCTGGAGTGTTGTTTCCGAAATTGAAAGGATGAAAAGCTAATGTCTGGCACTTTAACAGGGTTGGTAGGCACGGAGCGGAGTTGGAAAACCTTGATTCCAAACCAGTATCCTGAGGGAACAAATGGTGTATGAACCAGTTGTTGGTCACCGGCTACCATGGGACTACATCTCCTTACGTTGTCCCACTGCTTCGTGGATTAGAGCTTTAGGTCAAAGGCTCGGGGTGTGACCCCCTAAGAAAACTACCCGCTTCGGTTTGGGCAGTATCCTAGCCCTCACACAAATCGAATGATTTATGTAGCGCATATCTATTCGGTGCCTCGTTCTACCAATGTTTATGTGTTAAAATAAATAAAATAATAAATACTCATTATGTAACAATTTCATTGTAGTTTGTGTTTGCTTTTCTTTAAATCATCTTTTCATCATAGTTCTCATTTGTCTACATCAGATCCGCGTAATAGGAAAACACAAATGAATCACGACAACAGCGACAATGAGAATGATCAGGATAATGAAATAGATGATCCGTTGGATAGCTGGAGTGCGGCTGTACAACATCAAGCAGAACTCTACAGTAGACAATCGTCATCCCAATCAACATCGAAGAAACTATGTATTCGTCCGAATTCATATTTTTCGGACGAAGAGGATATTGATGATTCTTAAGTGTACAGTTAGTTTCCCCTCGGAAATTCTCCCTACCTTCTTGAGTTTTTACGTATTATTCTTAATCAGTGATGATGGTTATCCTGGACGCTTCAAAATGAATACATTATCATTGATTTTTACCACTTTATTGTACAACAAAACGTTTTAATGCAATGCTAGACTTGAATTCATCTTCATTTTTAGCATACTTTATGTACATATATATTATGGCTTTACTGTGTAATGTAAATAAAAGTATATATTTACTAACTATAGTTATTAAAGTGCTTACAGCTGGAAACGTGATCACAAGGAAGCAATAACTAGCATGGAAAATACAGTCAGCTCAAGTTATTGCAAGATAAAGCTGTACAGTGGGAGAAAACTAGTAAATAGGAAGAGGTTCAAAGAGGGATACAAAATTTGAAATACAAGGGTCTTGTGGATATTTTCGTGATTACTCTTGGACTTCCTATGTTAATTGACCAGACAGTTGTTATTCCCATAATTCCCAAAAAGTGTATAGCTTTCAGAAGCCAAAGCGAATTATGTTTTTGTGACCCGTTGATCTGACTCCTATTTGTATGAGCGTATGCTTATGCTATGAATACAAACCTCCCATCAAACTCCGTATATTACCTAGGCTAACCCCCCTGTGTGACGGCGGAAATAAGATGCCAAATACGGGTTAGCGTTAGATGAACTTATTTCAAGCACTTGTTTATCCAGACAGAAGTTCAGAATAAGAAGTGGGAAGGCGGACCGGAGGCGAGTGACCTCACTGGTCTTGATAAAGCGAGACTCATTATTTATAGTCAGACGATAATAAGCTACAGACATGTGATGAGTAGGGTAAGCAACACACACTCAAATGAAGACGATCAAGGCTAGTGAGCGGATAATCGACAAGGTCAAAATGTAACTCGTTAAGAATAAATCAGTCTGTCCGGGAGGTAGAACAATCCATGTGAGCTTGACATGATACTACAGTGTAGAACACATTAATTCAACAAATTATGCGACCAACACGCAGCAATGCGTGGATTGTTTAACGAACAAATATGTATGTTATCAAGCTTCTAAACAAATTAACATCTAAGTGAATGAAGGTAATTAATGCGTAAATTGCCATATGCATCCAAGCACACATACTCGTTTATACAGGTAAAAGGATTTACATAACGTATGTACTTGAATTATTTTCGACCAAAATAAATGTTGAATTAAGTCCCAACTAGTTTGAGCGCACGCGTATGTGGTCAATGTTACTATGATGGCAATGGGACAAACCATTCGACGATCAGCAGGGTCTACAGATAAATGTAAGCTGTTTAGTATCATCTCACTCCATTGAGCGTTTCTTTTGTATGATTCCCAGTCTTCCTGTTCAAGGTTCTCTTAACGACACCTAGTGCCTTGTCTTTTAAGAAAAAAAGTAATAACACAACTGAACAATTCAGTTATGTGTGTTGGCTGTAGAAGTTTAATCTTACGGTATCGTAAATCATGTTCATACAGTAAGTCATTAAAAAATTAATGTCTGGTGCTACACAGTTTAGTTTATTCAAAATTTATCTCAGTCAGCGTAAATGAAACGAAAATCAATGTAATTGATATATAGTTTATGGCCAGCTCATAAGGTTTTCCATTTTTCCTTACATCGAGTCATATCAGTTTTTGTTCAGTCATAACGCTTACAGGCTTATAAGAGGTTTAGATCACTTGTAAGATACTTTGATGACATTAATTGACTCCTGACTGAGTTAATGATTGAGATGAATTTTCTTTTTGTCATCAAATGTGAGACATTGTAAATAAACGATTAAAGCAAAGAGAGAAAACAAGTAGCTTATCTTTAATTATCATCTAATATTTGTATACTTCGTATGCATATATTACTTAGTAACTTGAGCACTTGACTTTAAATTGCTGTGTAAGAATTTCGAACACCTTTAAACATAACTTGGCTTAGGCATATGATTAGTATTACCATCATCTACACAAGTGTTGCCCAATAACCAATACTTCTTCATATTGAGCTTGATTTTGTGTTTTTCGTATTTGCCTCGAATCGTATTATCTATTACTAGTCTGTTTGTGTGATCACAAGTATAAATATAGATTGACTGTATAGTTATAGAAAAAATCAAATGACTCACAAATATCATTATTTTAATGTTAATTTTAAATAAGTATTCAGGAGCTTTGAGCTTCCAGTTCAAAAGTTTTAGCTTCCATGGATAATAATTGAGAAGAAAATACTGACTCATGAAATCACTGATTGTAGAATTATGCTTAACTCTTGCCACAGCTGAACTCCCTAATAATGATAAGTCCAGCCCTTTTAGTCCTACCTAATCAAAAGATAGTGATTGATGAGTTATGATTCGAACAATCAACTTCTAGTCTCTGCCTTGACTTTGACTCCACCCGAGTTGTAAAATCCTAGTTGGTCATTTGATATTCTTTTCTTCTCAGACAATAGATGAGGCTTCTTAACTGACAGGTTGGTATTTCTATAACATAATTATTAAAGTTAAGAATTTTTTCAACCAATACCCCGTATTTGGTTTCTAAAGGTTACTGAAAATTGTCACTGTATCCGTGAGGTCGATCGGGATCAGTAATTGTAGTTAACGCAATTTTTACTTCCATTTGATTGACTTTCAAAACTTCAAATTAAGTAGAAAGGATTAATCTTCGTATTCTCTGTTATCCTTTCCATTTATTTTCTCATCCTATTTTTGGTGTAAAAAGACCACTCATTTATTCTTTAGAATAAATTTGTTATTTTAATGTTTCATCTCATACGGTTCATTTAATAAATCTTTGATTACTTAAAATTTGGGCGTGTCATTGGTACTCTGATAATTTTTATGACTTTGTGAGGCATATTTCTGTAGGTTATAAGTTATAGTCTTGGTTACATTGTGATAATGTTTCAGTTGAGAAACTATGTAGAGTAGTATATATTATTGAATTAGTAAACAAATATTTATTACATTGACAACTGTTGTGATTGAGTTAAATCATGCTCAAAACAATAGTATTAACTACAGTTAACAAAACTATGAAGGGTTCTTTTTTGTTTACTGATACAATTGCTTATGATTAGTTAAGTCATAATAGTATGGTATGTTTTTACGACATAATTTGTAGTTAAGTAAATAGGGGGAGAGTGATCTCTTGAACTTTCTAAGAACATAATTGATTTTTTTCTATCAAACAGCTTATGCTTTGAATACATTGGATAAAGTGTTTAAAAGGTTGTCATTTATTAATTTACAATTAATTATTTTTCGTCGTTTATAATATAAACTTAACATCCTTATTTTAGTTTTGATTCTAGAAATTATAGATTGATTTATTTTTGAGCATATCGAGTTCTCTGAGCTGATTGATTTAACTGCAACGCTTTTGTTATCAGAATGGGTTTTGTGGAGATTGTAGTAATTTAAACAGTTGAAATCATGAGTCATTTGAAGCTACACCACCGTGGAAAACCTGGAAGCAATGGACGGCCGTTTCTTCCCACTGTGAGACTCCTCAGCAGTGCGCACCCACGATCCTGCACCTCGCGAGATTCGAACCCAGGACCTATCAGTTTCGCGCCAAGCGCTTAACCAACTAGACCACTGGGCAGGCGTCCAAAGGTGTTAATATCTAACTTCAACTAATCTATGAAATTGAGTGACCATCTCATCAATATAAACATTAAATGTCATGGGTCAAGAATTGATCTCACAGTTGGATATTCATCTACATTTTTTGTGTTCTATAAAATCTTTACGATCCTAATGCAATTCTATAACTTTTATTCTCATTTTATTTGTCTTTTTTTCACAAATTATTACTATTATTAGTATTTTCAATCATTCGTTATTCTTTCTCTTCGTTAGACTGGTCGACCACTGAATAATATCTAATATCTATTTTGCCTAGATCTGTCGATCAAGTTGCAATGTAACTTCTAGTATAGGTGATTTAGTGTCTCGTGCGCTATATTTGGATATTATTGATTTCTGTCGAATGTTTTTAACCGCTTAATATCATGTCCGTCGTAGTTTTTTATGCGTGTCATACGTTAATTGAGTCTGTGAGATGTGGGACCCTGTGATATCTGTATTTACAACTTTACTTTCAGGCTTCTTTCTTAAATAAATCTGTCTCAGATCAGTTTTATATATTCTTCTGTTATAATTTATGGAGCTTTCAGAATAACTAGTCTATTCTAAACTAACCGAAACGTTTCAGGCAAGTCTTTAACATCCAACGAACTAATATTGAAGTAGGGTAGGATTTGCATGATCTATGTAACTTGGGAACATTATTATGTTGGACTGAATAGTCATCATCTGCAAAATCTCTATAGATACCAATGTTTTGATCAAACATCATCTGTTGTACCCAAATTGTGACGTTTTGCACAAAATGTGTATGTTATAGATCTGTCAAGTGATTCTTAAATCCATGATATATAAGTCAAGTGACTATGTCAACATAAGAGTATTATTATTAGAATAATTAATTTTTGGAGATTTTTTAATTTCCAAAGTTGAATTCACAAGTCAATCTAAGCTAGACCCCCATTGAAAACTTGGGAGCACTGAATGTTTATATAACGAACTGAGTATATCTAGAAGATTTCTGAAAGCAAAAGAACACTAGAGAGAGCCTTTTCATCTTTCCATGAGATTCAGCAATATGCAGTTCTTCCAACAAGTTTCACCGATGGTTAGTTGTTGCTTAGGTCTACAAATTGACTTAAATCACAAATATGAATCACTAAGTATTGACTCAAGGTGATAAGATTAGAGCAACTCCAGAAATTTCTAGTTTTAATCCTTGGCTGAACAGAAAAAAGCTAAGCATTTACCACAGATGTTGGGACAGTCTCATCATCATGTAGTACATTTCTTGGACGTTATTTCTAGTTGGAAGCATGGAAATAAAGATTTGTTTTCCAGAACACTGAGCTGTAGAGTAATTTGAGAATTTCGTAAACTGTTAAGTACCTC